TTTTTAACTACAATACCATTTTTAAATATTAAATTTGTTAAATGTTGTCAAAAATCAAACTTTAAATGTTTATAAAAAAAAATTGTGCCTATGTATTTTTAATATTTTTCAACTACTATTGTAACAATATATTAAGAGTCTTGTATTAATTGTTCACGCTTTTTGACGAATAAGTCAAAATATTTTGAAAATTTTATCGTGGTTGGAAAATTGTAGTATAAATGTTCAGTGAAAATGTCATAACACCAAACATCGAAAACCGATTTTCCTTGATTTTTATTTTGTTTTTCCTCGCGCTTTTGAAAACTATTGGAAATTTTAAATTTAGTGTACCTCCCGAATGTACCAACTAGATTCACTTTCGATCGAACAAGATACTGTTGAAGAAAATCGAAGCAGTACTTCAACGTTGTACAGCCCCAAACAGCTGTGATGGCGGACAAAAAAAACAAACATACTCGTATCATTGTAAAATCAATGTATTCATCACTCCGTTCGAAATCTAAAATACAAACTAATTAAGACATCTGAAATATGTAATTACTAGCTGCAGGTAGGTACCAATTATTTATATTATAGTTATAAATAAATAATAATGTACCTTCATTCTTTGTACAAAATATTTTTCTATTTTTTTTTTGTAATTGTAATTTTTTTTTCAAGTTTAATACTTTAAAGTAGAGTTTCTTTTATTTTTCCAATTCAAGCACTGCACATAGCACATAAGATAGGTATTTTTTAATTCTCTTTAAGTTAAAGATAGGCTTTTAGTAGTTGGTTCAACACTGTTAGTCGGTAGAGTGTAAAAGAATATTATAACAGCATATTATATATATTTGGCTTGAATTTCTTATCACTTATTTCAAGTAGCCTGAATTGAAAAAAATATTATCTGTAATTAATTCAGATCATTTACTTTATCATAAGTATGACAAAGTAAATAATATGTTTTCATTGTATTGAATCAATACCATTGAAGCTAAAAAAATAAAGTCAAGATAGGAATATAGCCTCTCCATTATTCGCTTCCTTGTACCTAGGCTAGATGAAATACTCCTGACAACATTACAGAGTTTTTTATTTACACATGTCAGTCATTTTAATTTTGACAGAGTTTGGAAATTCCATCACAGTCCTTTCAATTTATTTTCAGTTTAAACTAACGACTGTATTTCATTAAAAAAATAATATATATTTTGTATTCTGTCCAGGGTGAGAACGTGCCAATTCTGCGCATCCCCCTAATATCTTTGCTATCGAAATTGGTTCCCTTATGGCATGGTGTTGTGTGGGGGAACCAGTTTTGGTCGATGTATGGTTCTCTTGCTGGGCAGACCATAGTAATATTTTCTTGTATTGCTTATTTAAAACATATTTATTTAGATATTGCTAAGCAAATATTATAAAATGAATTACCAAAAGATCAGCTGTGTGCACATTGCACAGGTATACACAGGCCAGAAAAACACCGAGTTCTAAATAAATATTTGAGTTTATATAATTATATACAATAAATTAACCAACCGTAAGAATTTTAAGCTTTTAGCTTTTTGTGTATGGTATCAATTATTATATGATCATTGATAATACATCAAAATTGATTAAAAATTGTAACTCTTGTTTATTTACCAATTGTAGTTCTTGTAAAAAGTAGTTTGAATGACAAGATTTTACGTCATAAATTTAAAATAATATTTACCATAATATGTCAATAATGAAGGATGGAAATGTATTTAAATAACACGTATAGTATAAAGAAAGTCTATTTAGACATAAACATCAATTTTCAAAACATAAAAAATATTCAGGAATACACCTAATTATCCATACAATTTAGGAATTAATTATCCTTACTATCTTAATTTTATAAGTATATATATACACATATATACTTAGATATAATATAGTATTAACTTTTCTTTAATAAAATATTAAAAAATTGCATTATTACATTCATAAATCCACAAAATAAAACTTTACATAACCAAAATTAAATTGCAACATAGTAATAATAATAATCATATAATATAAATTAAAAAATTACATCCATAAAAATAACTAGTAAATTCTTGTGGTATACAGTTCTAAATTAAAAAATTATTCACATTTAATGTGTAGTACATAAATAAATTTATTTTAAACAATGTATATATAATAATATATCTGTATGTAATATATATAAATTTGTGTATAATATACATACTTCACGATAAATGTAATTTAGTTCATCAGAAATTATATACTTATAGAATAATAAAACAAGATGCTGAATTGATAACATATTTTTCAAAAATAAAATTTAAATGCTACTTAAATATGTGAGTTACCATTCTTAAAATTTCTTATTTTTCAAAACACAGAAAAAATATAAACTATTTATAAAATTGTAAAATTTACTCTCGTTCATATTAAAAATAGTAAATATTATTAGGTTTAAAAATATATTTTTAGTTAATTAATTTTTTGCATTTAAAATTTAAATTCATGAGAATTGAGAAATGTTTGAGTCATGTTTTGTTACTAAAAAAAATATAAATAAATAAACAAAAATATTTATTCTTTACTTTAAATTAAAATTATATTTCAAAAAAGATAACACTGTTAATTCATTTAAATGAAAAACGTGCATTATATATATCATTTTAAATTAAATTAATAAGAACTGTTACAAAAATAATGGAATAAAAAATTGCAAAATTTTTTTCTCATTATCACATACGAGATAATTTCATATAACCTTCACATTTAGTATCAACTTTTACATTATTTACATATAAAACAAGTGTATAAATAAAATAACTATTTCAACACACACATTCCCACATCAACAATGCATATCTCCCTGCGTTAAGAATACTTAATGAATAATAATTAATTAAAAATTAATAATAATAACCCAAATTGGTCAATGTACATTGTTGCTTAAAAATTTAAGAAATATAATTATACATTAGATAAATCTAAATTATTCTAAAGCTATTGTTGTGTAACATAACACAATAGACTTGAAATTATATATATAAAAAAAATATATATAATAATAATACACCACATACAAACACCCCTATATTACATATATATTTTGCAATAACCTGAGTGTATTTCATAGGTAACTATAATATAATATTATAAGAATATTAATTGGCAAATAACACCCTACATATATATTTTTCAAAAATAACACCAAACGTGTATTAATTTATACTAATTTTAACATTAAACAACATCAACCAGATAACCTAGAAGAATTCAATTTCAGCGTTTGGTGCTTACTGTTGAAAATATTTTAGCTAATTGTAGTTAACTGTATGAATAAAATGGGCAATAATAATAATAATAATAATAATAATAAAATTAATGTACACCTAGGAATAAAATTGAATGATACATGACTTCCTAAAAATCTAGGTTTTAAGACAGAAAAAAAAAATTATTTGTAAATAATAACAAAAGGAACTTAAAAAAAGAAAACTCGCAACAACAACAGTAAAAATAATAATATATAATAATAAAAATATAATAATAGTAAGCAAAATAACGACTTATTATTATTAAAACGTGTTAAAAGATACTTGGTTAAACATTTTTTCACAAACATAATTGTTTTTCATACATTTTTAAATAAAATATAAAAATTGTTATAAGTGTTTTAATCCTCTAATAATATTAAAGATATAAGGTTATTACATGAACAAGCAAAATTGCTGAACACAATTAGGACTTAAAAACATAATTGCTTGCCACTGTATTTTAATTGAGAAATAAGCATGTGATAAAAATAATTAAATTGACCAAGTGAATGGAATCCAGTACCTTTTACTAGGAGGAATAAGAAGAAGAAAACTAATTTAACAAGAAATAATATTCAACTTATAACAAGGTTAATTAAAGTCATAGAGCAAGAGCTCGTTGTTTATATTTGGGGTTTGAAAGTATTGACTCTAACGGAAAATATTTATATTTAGATGAATTTTAATAATATAACAGTTACAGACAACTATGAAACATCTGAAAAGGACAATACCTATGAATTTAAGAACCTTAGATTGTAACATTACTATAAATTCCAGAAATAAAACTACAGGAAGACCAAAGAAAATAATAAAATCAAAACAATAATGAAAGTGAAAGGGAAAGAGAAAAAGAAACATAATTAAAAAAAATAAAATTAAAATAATAAAATAAAAATAATCAATAATTAATTTATAATCAATCAATAATATTAGTAGGAAGACATTTTGTTGATATGTAGTCACCGTATGAAACACAATGACATTAAACTGATCATTGCAGTTGGTATTGTAAAAACGAACTAACGATCAAACATATCAATAAACATTAACAAAACTATTGACAAATTAACAAAAAAAAAAAAGGTGTTTGTAATAATAATAATAATAAAAAAATAAATATATATTAAGTGCTGATAAAATAAAAATAATTGGGAATATTTGTTGAAATTTTTTCTAATTACTGTATGTATACTGTATATAATTTTATACAAATATGATGAATGATGCTATTTGATTGCCACAAATAACAAGAGCACACAAATGAACATTGAACACAATACATGAACAAATGCCAACTATGACTGGACTCCATTGAAAATAATTGTTCTTAAATACTGATTTCCATCGATTATTAAAAAAAATAAAATAATAAGCAAGGTAAAATTGTTATCAAAACTACAATAAAAACTAATTTACAACATTACATTGGCAAGTAAAACAAAACAATGATTAATAACTTATCCTTATTAATAAATAAAACAACATGTAACATTAAAGCCTATATTCTAAAAATATTATGTACACCTATTTAAGTAAAGTAGGTAGGTTTGTACACAGTTAAATTGTTAAAATGCCAAATTTTTTTTTTACTATTAAATTAAATAAGTAAATAAAAACTAAATACATAATATGAAAAAAAAAAATAACCAAAACAATTCATCCCAAATAGTTTCCCACTTTTACATAAAGTAAAAAAGAAGTATTTATTTATTTTTCTGAAAGCAATTTTTGTAGAAGAGAAGATGATTTTTGGTCTGTTACATTAGTGGTTGAATTTGCACTACTAGTTCTCGGAGAGTCATTCATTGGATTCTAAAAAATAAAAAATAAAAATGATAATTTGTACATAAAAAGAATAATTATGTACAGGCCACTCTTAACTAGTATTAACGAGCACTTTTAATTTCAATTTTTCTATTTCTATCCAAAGCATGTATTTATATTAATTTGAACTATTAACTATCAAATATACAGCTGAAATATTATTTTGTAATTTAATTTTAATATTAGCATGTTTGTAAAACACCAATAGAATAATAAATAAATAACTTATAGTCCATTTTGAATAAAAACATTTTATAATTGTTAAACGGTGCCAATTACTTGAATTCATTGTGGTCTACATACCACTCGTATTTTAAATGTCACAACGGCAATAATAAATTATAAACAAAATCCCATTCCCATTCACGTCACCACTACTATTTACTCACTCTTGCAGGCATTCCTTGAGGCTGTGATGAGGACGAACTTAAATCTGAATTTAAACTAGACCACTTGGGACTTTCATTACCACCTAAAATTTGCAGTATTATTAGTAATAAGTTATGGCATGAATATTTATAAATATTTTATTTCTTCTATACCTGTAGGAGACATGTCAAAATTTAAGCCCAACGAATCGAGTTCTGCGGAATTCACATTTTGTCCAGGCAATAATTGGTTAGATAACCGAGTAACTCCTTGTTGTTGACTACGAACTCCTACAAATGCCCGCAGCTCATTTCTAGTGAATTCTGTGACACCATTATTCCCGCCTATATTATCATAAATATGAATTTCAATCAAAATATTTAGATTATTAATTAAATATTTGAAACATATTATATGTTTTTATTTTTACCCTGAATTTGTGAGTTAGTAGTTGTCATATTTATATTTCTAGGTAAGCGGAATTGCTGTTGCTGTTGTGGCTGACAATTGGTATTAGGTGGTACTTCGGTATTATAACCTACAGGACTTGTTAGCACACGAGTGGCACTTCCGTGACTTTGTTGCTGTTGATTAAGAAAATTTTGTCTCACAGAACTGTTATTGAAACCACCCGTGATCTAAAATTAAAATAAATTATAATTTAAATTACTTTAGTTAGGACCACGATTAAAGATATAATGGTTGCTCAACGAGCTATGATAAGAACATAAAATGTGGTTCCTGAAGGGTCCTTCACAAAGCTGAATAAACTGTTGAAAAGAATAAACGACTAGCGCTCTCATTATATTATCACCACGCATCAGTGTATTTTACTGCTACAAGTTCTAAAAGGCCATAATACAATTCTTATCAGGGGGTCTCGTTATCACGCCTCGTTGCGCAACCGGTATAATATCTTTAATTGTGGTTAGGACACACAAAAATAAATAAAAATCATTTTATACCTGTAGTTGAGCGTTAAGCATAGGATTCTGTTGTTGGTGTAATGTCAATCTCTGTTGAGTCCACACCCCAGGTTGTTGAGTTTGGCTATTATAAATATTTTGTGTTTGCTGTTGCTATAATAACAATAAATAAGTAAAATATTATTATATTAGGTATAAAAATATTTATTATTATAAAAATAAAAAATAAAATAATTACTTGACTAACACAGGAATTTATAGGATTTTGATATTGTGAATGTGATGATGGAGACATTCTTGAAGTGGCTTGTTGTACAATTTGTTGCGCTTGTGTAGTGGTTTGAGTTTGTGTAGTAGTTCCATAGCTAGAAAAAAAAAATATAATATTAAAGTGTTTTAAATTACATATTTAAATTAATACATTTTTTAAGTACGGACTATACCATACAATTTAAAAATTGTAGTTGGCTGACTCCATATATTTTTAATTGTTTTTACTATATTAAACTGTTGTTGGTCACAATATAACTTTCTAACTGGTTTTTAATACATGTAATAACAAACTAAGACCTTGAAACTATTCTAAGAGAGTAAGACCTAACAAAAGCAGAAATATGTATATTTATATCACAATATGGAGACATCGTCAAACAGCGCTATGTGGTTGAGTTTTCCTAAATATATTCAATTACTACCTTCATATGGTCTATACAGTAGATATCTTTAGTGTATATTACTGGTACAACCCTGGTAGGTTACAAATTATAAAGTGATTAATATAACTATTTCTAAAAGACCCAAACAAAATTCTCAAACTATTAATGCTAAACAGCATTTATAATGACGGTTTTCTTCATAAAATGAGTGATAAATTAGTGTCTATGTTTGGCATAAGAAAAGCTGTAAGAAAACATACAAGTCTAAAAGTTGAGATCAATATACATTTTAAGATTCAATTCCGAAATTATATTAAAAAATATTGTTGTATTACACTAGCAAAAATGGGGGTGATTATGAAAAAAATAAATTGTATTTGCCATATAAATGAGAATAGTTTCTTTGAAATACAAATAATAACATTTTTAAAGTATAGATTATTCATTTTACTCAACACCAGTAGACTATTACATATTACAAAGTACTATTACTCACTTTAACATAGGGAAAGACTGTTGTGTAAGAGTAGAATATGGGGGTTGTCGGTTAGATGAAGGTGAGATCTGAGAAGAATTGAGCAACACACTGCAGGGAGCAGCATAAACTGGACTTAGTTGAGATTGTGAATCAGGTACACTCGAGGAACGCTGAAAAACACATTATAATTTTATAAAATATATCCTTAAATATTAAGCGTTTTTATTACTTGTAACGCAACATTAGGTGGACCAGTATTATTTAACAATGAATCTATAGTTTGCAAAGCAGTGGTAGGATCTGGGGTTGGTAAAGTTGCAGCATTTGTTGTAACAACCATTATTTTTTGTTGCTGTTGTTGTTGCAAAAGTCTTTGCTTCTGTTGTTGTTGCTGAATCAACCTTTGTTTTTGTTGCTGTTGCTGTTGCAATAGTAACTGTTGTTGTTGCTATTTTAAAAAGTTAACAGTTATTTATAAAAACATTGAAACTTTTAAACATAATTATGAACTTATGGTTTCAAATTGTTTAATGTAATGGTATATTATATTTTTCATAAAACTAACCAAAGGCGGAGTTTGAACATTCTTAGGATATGGTGGCCTTGGTGATTGCTGTGGATTAAATCTGACACTGTTTTTTTGTTGTGGTTGATATGCTGGAGGTGGAATAAATTGGTTTTGTGGATGATGATTATTTCCAGTTGGAGAACCATAGTTTAACTAAAATTTTAATATTCAATTCTATAGTATAAGAATATTAATTAAATATAGTCTGTCACAAATATTTACTGGTGAAGGCGATTCGACTGTAGATTCAACTTGCATCAAAGATTTTTGAATTGCATTAACAGCCATTTTTTCATTCATTAAAGAATTGTAAGAATTTTGGTTGTTAGTGTTTTGTCCAACAGGATTGGGGACGTTCGGTGTTTCTAAGACGTTGAATAAATTTAACAATGTCGAATTATCTGCAATATAAATTAAAAATTATAGAATTTCAATAAGATTATAATATACTTTAAAAATATCTTACCTGAAGAAACATTCATGATGTCCATGACTTCTTCTAAAAGATCTGACAATTCTGGATCAGAATTAAATGGTAAGGAGTTACTATTTGATTCAGCTATATTACTCAATAGAGAACTATAGCCACTAATAGCTGAGGAGGTAACTTGTCGCATTTGTTGTAATTGAATTTGGTTTTGACTTTGGAGAGCCTGTGGTTGATCCAGCATATGATTTAGGTACAAGTTATTACCACCTAGCGAAAGAAAATGTATTAGTTAAAATAAAAAAGAGGAGTTATTGCATGAATTAGTTATTTTACATATGAAAAGTAAGTTTGTGTAAGTTAACATAACACACAAGCATATTGTAATAAATGTATAATATGTTACTTTTATAGTAATAATTAGGATTACTTTTTTGCAGTAAAATCCGTTGATGACTTTGAAGTTGGGTTTGTACACTTGATGAAGTCATTGAATGTTGTCCACTGTTCATGTTCCAGCCACCAGCTACAAAAAACAAATCAATTTACCGTCTATTATTACCTATTTACTTAAAAAGGTTAGTTATGAAATACAAACCAGATTGTTGCTGCTGCTGCTGCTGTTGTTGTTGTTGTTGCTGCTGTTGTAGTTGTTGTTGTTGCTGTTGTTGTTGTTGCTGCTGCTGCTGATGTTTTATAATAGTAACTAGTTTGTCTTGTGGTGTAGCTGATATAACAGAAGCCGGTATTGCTGGTATAGCAGTAGGAGGAGGATCTTTGGCTAACAATGAAGCAAGCATTTTGTTTCGCTCGCGTAATTTACTATTGGTAACTTGTGCCTGAGAGCCACTAGGGCTTGGCATTGATTCAAGAACTGAAGGGCCTGAACTTCCTCCGGAACTATTGGTACGCTTCAATGGAGGATGATCATTATCATCGTCAGCACTTATGCTATTACGTTTACGGCCATGGTTATGACTGTCAGGTGATGTTGGGGACAGAATACGAAAACCCACGCTATTCAGTAACAGGTCCTCATTTGAGTGTTGATTGTTTTGCTATAAAAGCAAATAAAAAGTCAATATAACATTATGAATTACATTTACAAAATTACACATTTAAACAACAATTATTTTAGACTTTGGAAATAATATAAAAATTAATCAAAAAACGTGCACACACAAATTATTTTTTTGCAATAAATTACCTCAAGCATGATTCCATGCTGCCTAACATTATCATCATCTTTTAGTAATTGTTGAAGAAGATCATTTTGTTTTTTAAGCCCTGCTCGAGCTTCAATATCTTCATCTTCGCTTTTGTCATTTAATAACTGCAAGGTTTTATGAAAAATTTATTGTAGCCCAATATAACTGATCTCAGTTGATAATATAAAAATAAAAGTTTGAATATTTTGCAAAACTTATAATAAATATTTAAAAAAAATTATTTCCAAAATCATATAAAAATAAAAAAAAATTCAGAAGTTCTTATTTTCTATACAGTTTAGTAGTTATACACACCTTAATCAACATATTGTTATTATTATTGCTGGTAGTAGCATTATTTGGAGTTGATGGGGAATCGTTCATGTTAGAATTGCTGCGAGATGCTTGCCGTACATTAGCTGGACTTGGTGGAGTGCTGTGATTAGTTGACTCGTCATCTGCACTTTGGGAAGCCATATCATCTGGATTCAACAATCCTTTTAATATATTATGTTTGTTCTTTGATATATTGTTGTCTTCAGATGATCCATCAGTTCGTTTCATCAGCAATGTTCGTAGTCGAGCTGATTCCATTCTATCCACACTACCACAAGAATCATAAGAATCCTTTGGTGATGGTATGAGTGGACTGAAAGGAAATGAAGTGTACTGAGTTTGTGCCACAGGAGTATGTGGATTGGACGATACTGTGGCTGGGCTAGGCACTGGTGTAGTTCTAGATGGGGCTTCAACCGAGTTTGTAGATGGTTCAGACCACTTATTTTCTTGTAACATATCACCAAATGTCGTGCTTGGAAATAATCCGAAATCGGAAAAATTGAGATCAGATGACGGAGTCATGTTATAGTCATTACCGAATTTAGATTCAGATTGCAAGATCGACACAGACTGATTAGATCCAACATTATTAGACATTAATGATAATGGATCTGTCCCATTGTATGAGGCATTCATCTGTTCTGCTGCTGCTCGAGCACTATTGTTCTCAATCATAGCACACATTTCACTATCACTAAAAAATAAAATGTATAATATATATAATAGGGAACTAACAAATGGTTTAAGAAATTAATGTTGTTTTATAATATGTTGTACTATCAAATACCAATAGATCATTATTTTAAAATGCTTAATTAATCTAATTACTGAATATAAAAATTAAATTGTTAACAATTAAGATAATAAATAAATTATTTAATAATCTTAAAAAAAACCGTTGGGTTAAAACTATTTGATATAAATATAAATATTAAGAGGACGCTATACCTGCATGCATGGTTTCCACCTTATAAATTCACAACATAACAAAAACTGTTTTGCGCAGAACAACTATGCTCCCTCTATATTTATAGTAGAATTACCTAAATTTCAAAACACAAAAGGATGAACTTTATCTGTCGTAGTATTTTTTTTTTTTTTTTTTTTTGATAGCACTTACCAATAGCTTTTAATAATAAAACCAAAAAAACCTAATGATCTCAAACTGATAACTTTAATTGTATTTATGTTATCCTAATAATAAAAATGCTTCGACACAGATAAAGTTCTTCCCTATGTGTTGTGGAATTTTGGTAATTCTACTATAAATACAGAGGGAGCATAGTTGTTCCACTCAAAACAGATTTTGCTATGTTGTGAAGTTGAGAATTTGTAAGACGGAGACAACACATGTGGGTATAGCGTCCTATCAAATATCAACTTGAGGTGCATTATTCTAATTTATATTTGAAAATGCTACAAGTTTTAAATGTTAAGTTTTTCTTACACAATGATGGAATGTGCTGCCATTATAAAGTCCATTTCATGATTTTCATTACTTTTGAAATACTTAGACTTAGTTTGAACCTTTACGTATCTATCTTCAACTAAGTGTAACTTATAAACTGGACTTGTACCGAAACCGGCTCGACGTGTTTCTTGTATATGGTTGGCCACTTTTATTACATCATTCTTATGACATTTATCATGTAACAATCTACCCACTAAACAATCCTGTAAATAATATTTATATATAGTAAAACATTTGTAAATTTATTAATTAATGATTTTTGACATTTTGATATTACTTTATTTATGTGTTGAGCATAAACTTCGGATACATCTTTAGTATCCAAAGCCAAAATCTTCCCATTTTGATCAAGTTTAATTGTAAACTGCTCCAAAGGAGGACTTAAATGTTTTTCATTATACGGCACTCGTCGTGCTATGCATAACAAATTCTGGCTAACGCCATCTGTACTATCTTCGTCATCGACCATACCACCATTAATTTTAGTAGACGATATCTAAGTAATTGAAATACAGTTAGTATAAAAGGCTATAAAGTTATATAAAAACTATTATAATGCATTAAAATTACCTGTAATGTTTCGTACTGGCTAACCCTTGTCTGTTTTTCTTCGATAGTTTGGTCTTGATCAGATGGAGGTTTGATTAATAGCCGGCAATTAAATTTTTTAGTAAACCTCTGATTCCAATTGTTCCCTTTGGAACCAGAGGGCGATTGCTCCATAAGAGGAGTGGTTGGTACGTTAGAGCCCAGAGAACCGATTGGCGAGTCGTAGATTAACAATGGGTTGTTTAAAAGAACACCAAACTTGGTGTGATCACCGTGGTGAATAATATTATAAACACTCTTACCAAGTAATTCTTCTTTGTTATAATGTAGAAATTGTTGTATATTTTCTGTGACAAATTCTATTTGACTGTCTGCATTTACAACAAATAAAAACCCGTCTAATGCCTACAAAAATGTATTTATTAATAATTTAATCACTAAGACATTACAATTTATTTTTTGTGTGGCATACCGAAAGTAACAAAGGTGCCAACTCTGTATTTGATATTCTAGTTGGTTTTGACGAAGATACTTCGCCTTGTTGAACAGCGGCTTCTGTACTAATTAAACTTTCTGTTTGATCAGATGAAAGTCTATGAGTCTATACACCAAACAATGTTAAAAAATAATTATTTTATAGTTTGATAAAAACTGTCAAATCATAAAAGTGTCATTATAATAACTGTTGTATTAAAAGTATATTAAAGTATAGTCTAAATTATTTGTAGGTTTAATATAGTATAATAAGTATTATATATATCATATGCTTGAAGTTTACTGTCAAATATAATTGATTATTAACTATTAATGTTAACTGGTTGGATTACCACTATGATAAGATAAATCTATAGCTTTCATTAAAGTTATTGTTGTCAAATGAAAACACTCCAAACTATAAAAGTATTATCACTCAACTTTGGGTTTGTATACAAAAAATAAACCATAAAATACATACTCCAACAATTCAAAATATGGCAAAAATAATAAAGCGAATGTATTATATTTTGTTACTTAGTATACATAAAATTGTAATTATATGGAATATTTTTTAGTTTCACCTTCTTGATTTCCTATGAAAATTTAACTAAAAAAATATGTTAGATTATTAACCTATATAAAATTAATATTAAAATATTCTCTACAAAATCTACAATTTGAAATATATAAAATATAAACAATTTAACTGATAAAATCTAGAGAGTGAAATTAACTGCTATCTCAACTAGGCATCTTTTAAGCTATTCATAAAATATGTGCTAAATGTCTGAATACAACAACTAGTTCACACACACAATAATCCTGATAAATAGATACAATACATAATAAAACTAAATTACCTATATTTAAATTTTAAGTTTAGTTTACATTTTAATGGACCTACAAATTAGTGAAAAGCTAGATTTATTATTCAATTTTCATATAAATGGATATTTAAAAAAAATACATTTATAATATCCAATAGGCAGACTGAGGCTCTGGATTCCCAGATGGATAACTTTTCACGAGGATCTAAACTAATCTAACTAAAAATAAAATTTAACTTCATAGTACTAATTTAAATATAATAAATTATTTATTAAAACATAAAATAAAAATACTATAAATAATTACTTAAAAATTTAAATTTTTAAACCTTTTTAATACAAATAAGTACAATTATGACAAAGAAAAAATTAATTTGGTTTTTAATTAAATAAATTCAAGGTCTTATAGGTCATCTTGAATGCATAGAATTTATGAATACGATAAATGATTTTAAATTTTCATGTAGCAATGTATACAAAATGAATACTATTGGAGGATGATTTGATAGTGTTTTTTTTTTTTTATTGAGGATTTTGAATATTAGTGTTTTCCTTGAGTGTATAATTTTTATAGTATGTTTCTATATAAACAAATCTTTCAAACTTATAAAATATATTCTTTTCAAATGCATTTCAATGAAAATATAAAAGTATCAATATTTTGTTTTACTTTGTATTATATTTTATTTTATATTAAAGTGAATTAATGAAATAGGTACAACACACTGTACACAATTATACTTAATATTGTATGTATAAGTAATCGAAAGTTATGACTTGTAGAACATATTATTTTAAATATACAAATATATAAATATTTACTAATAGACTATAGTTAAAATGATAATAGTTGAAGCATAGCCTACACTGAGAAACATTATAAAAATTATAAGTTCAAATATAAATGCTTAGGTACCTATTATACAATTATTTAAATTAATATTCAATTAATTGATAAAATTAAAACAAGGGGTGTAAAAAGTAATGATTTTTTTTATATATCTTTTAACTTCATGAAGTACTTATAGATAAAAAATATTGTAAATATAATTATAATTTACATTTGATTGTTATATTATGTAGTAATTATAGTAAAGTATAGTAGTATACTAAATCTAGTAGGTAATATCAATATAAAAACGAAATGTTTCTTTTAACCAACATATTTTCTAAAGCTCTGAAGTACGAAAAATGTTTAGGGATTATTATTTTGTTATTTAGAAATAAATAAATAATTATAACCTAAGGTAATAAGAATATAATATGAAACAATAGTAAAAAGGATAAAAAAAAAATGAAGAATATTGTCTTACCCCGGCTCGCACCTGATTCACAGTTTCCTGTAAAATGGCGCACTTATCAGGTTTTACAGACAAGGAATTCATGTCCGCAAAACTAGCTGAGATCAACTCGGCCAGCTCCTCGATGTAAATATTTTCCTGTTCTCGACGACGTTTTTCATTACGGCACTTGTTTCTGAAAATAAATGATTTAATAATGTTAAAAGTTCAAAGTGTTAAAATTTGCAGATTTAAGGGACGGCAACATTAGTTGCTGTCCATATAAAGCGGCCAAATGTTGAGATACGGTTTTTATAAGTAATATTAATTAATTGGCAAACTTTGCAACAGATGTTAAGACTTTTAGAAAGATCACTTATACAGAGTAAATACAGTATTCTTCTCGCATTTGATAAGTCACTTTAGGGGCAGAATATTAACTTCAGAGGACGTTGTACCCTCATGCGTCTCTCCGTTTTACAAATGATCAACATAGCAAAAACTGTTTTGCGCTGGAAAGAACTGAGAACGCTACAGTCATAACTAAGAAACGAAATTTTCACCACTTAAAATGAAGAACTTTGGCTGTGCAATACAAATTTTTTATTTTTACGTTATCGGAACTTCAAAAAAATGTTATTAAAGTTTGAAAAATACATATAATAATGCATTTTGAAACAATAAGAACTTTTTTTCGTATAAGTGATATCTAAAAATAAAAACGATATTGCACAGCCAAAGTTGATCTTTATACGTGGTGCAAATGTCCTTTCTTAGTTATGATTGTAGCCTTCTCGGTTCCTTCCCTCGCAAAACGTTTTTGCAATGCGTACGTGTGTAGTAAGACGGAAACAACATATGCGCGGGTGCGACGTCCTATTTTTTTTATCATGTTTTTGAATTATTCAGAAAAATAAGAAACGCCAACTATTAAATTGAGCATAGAAATAAATACAAATAATTCAAAAATATTCAATGGAAATGTCGAGCATATTATTATGGGTACAAATATAATATGGTACCTAACATTGAAATAATAGAACTAGACAGAACTAAAGAAAAAACTTACTCGTGAAATAATATACACATTTAGAGTTGGGATTTTTATGCACTTTGCGTTGTTTTCCAAAGCTAGCTACACAATGCTCGTCGTATAACATAATAATATACATTTCATGTATTTTTGAATCAAAATCAGAAATTTAAATTTAAATTTTAAGGTTTTTTTTTTTTATATTTTTACAGCATTTTAAGATTTTTAGGGCATTCATTACTAAAGTTGGGTTTTTTAAAAATTGAATTTAAGATTTTCACCAACGTAACTTTGTGTGGTGTTAAAAAACTTTTGATCTAATCGAATAATATTAAGAGGACACTACACCCGCATATGATGTTTAGCTTCGCTAGTTTGAAAATTTGAGTGAATTGACTTCTTATACAATTTAAAGATAAGATTATTATCTAGGTAATCTCATAGGATTTATATTATATTTTAATTTTAAAGCAAGTTGAATTTGAAATAGGTACTTTATTGAACAAACATAATATATTTACAATCTGTATTTACAAGTGATACAATAAGTAAATGGGATGATTTTTGGTAAACAGGAGGGGGAAGTCACCCAGTGGCGGCACCCCGTGAAAGGGGTGTTTTAATTAGGGCATCTCATAGGCTTTTTGTTATATTTTAATTTTAAAGCAAGTTATGAGTATTTTAAAATTGTAAATTGCTTGTACATCTTAAAATACTAATAACTCGCTTTAAAATTAAAATATAACAAAAAGCCTATGAGATGCCCTAAATAATAATCTTACCCTTAAATTGTTTAAGAGGTCAATTCTCCTTTTTTTAATCTAACGAAGCTAAATGTGATCTGCTGAGCGTAAAATTTGCAATGTTACGCACTTTTAAAACTAAAACAACTAATGTCTGTGTAACGTCCTCTTAATCGTAATTTTTCCAACAGATCTGTACGTCATTGTAAGAATCGAGATTATAAATGGTGGCGGAAAATTAAGTGGGATTAATTATTTTTTCAGATTAAAAATCCACGAAGAAGATTTAAAATTGTCAAGTCCTGGAATTTTTTTTTAATTTTATAAAAATATTTTTTGGTTTAAAGCTAGTTTAAAATAAAAAAAATCTAAATCCATTATTTTGAATTTTTAGGGCATTACATTCCCAGCCATATATGCCCTAACTAATTATTTTACAAATGAGGAAATTATCAGATTTTCCAATTTGAATATTTTAAGGAAACTACAAACACATTATTATTACAGAAACCATATATTTTATGATCAACTTTGGACTGTTGTAGGATTATGTGGATTACATATTTTAAATTTTAATCCTTTGATTCTTCGTCTCTTCACGTGCCAATATGCTGTCGTGGTATTATAACATAATGAGTAGGTAATTAAATCGATAATATAATAAATCAATGCTAAAATAATGGTAATCCCAGGTTTAATGTAAATTATTTTTCTAGGAAAATAATTATTTTAAAGTTAGGTAGGTACTCTGCTGTATGACATATATTATATTTATTGATATTATTATATTTTTTTTAAATATAAGAAAAAATAGATAGTAAATAGTTTATCCTATATACTTTCCAGCAGGAGGGAATTTCAAAAAACGTAGGTAATTTAATTTTCTAATAAATTATTAAAAAAACAATTAATGGATAATTATAAGTTTTTAATCAATGCGACAAATGATATTTACAAATATTTAGTTAAAAAAAAAATGTTGGCTTAATCATAGGTATTATTGGTAAAGGTATATAAATTATAAAATAAGATTTCAATTTTTGAGAGCATATTTATAGTACCATATTAGGTTAGGTTTTACATTATAAATTGTATTGAAAAACAATTTGGAGGGCGAATTTTAACTCCCAAACCTTATCTTGTTGGTATAATTGCATTAGTTAAAACCAATTTAGTATTAAGTTGAAACTAATTCAATTAGTTAAAATAAAATCATATATTATGTGGATACGTTTAGGTACATTATTTTATTTCAACTAATAGTTAATACAATTATCATTATGAAATTATTGTAATTTTTGCTGTCAGCTTAAAATGATAACGCCAGTTACCTCCCAGTTTTTATTTTAGCAAGTAATATTGCGTACATGGTACATCTAAGGATAAACATTGTCTACACGAACATTCATGTAAATGCAAAACCAGCTTTAGACTTGCACAATATTCTGATAAGTATTTGAGGGACGATATTATTACACGAGAAAAATTAAATGTTTATAAAATTTACAGTATGGAAATTGGATACATTTTTATACAAGATGAGAAATTGACTTATTTTCTTTACAATTTGAGAACGAATATGTATTTACAACTAAATTCAAGCCCCAGTAATTAATAGCAGCACACACCGTTATTCTATACTTGATATTGTTTTTGAAATAAATCATGCATTACCTACACCAAATTAACAACAGTGCAGTGCGTAACAAATCGTTTAACTCGTATTCATAATAATAATAATAGTAATAATAATAATAATAATAATATATTATTATGATTCCGAGTGTGTAATAAAATCACTTTTAAGTACTTTTTAACGACCGAGGTTCACAATAACACGGTAATAATTGTCACGATACTTGAAGTTTAATGAGATTAATTATTCGAACGTAAATATTGTGCGGCGCCTAATTATTGTCGTACATTATTTTACGGCACGGCTCCTCCAGATATTCGAGTACTTTTTGAGGAGTTTCAGTCGGTTGCTTTTGTCGACACAAATTACCTCGGAAAAATATAATAATGTTTAAAAACCGACCCTTCTCTCACTTCTCCGTTAATATCTGTCAACAATCAAAAGGGGGTTAGGTATATATTATATATATGTATGATGTATATACTTATATACTGAAGATTTATATATACATAATATGTAAATTAATAATAATAATTGCTGTGCTAAATATATAATATATATATTATGACAATATTATATGCACACACGTAATATTATAGAGTGTTAATTAACATACATTACATTATAATAATAATGTACGAAATCGTAAAAAGGTAAACCCACGCTCGTGGGTATAGTATGGATTCCGGCGTTAGAAGTAGTGCTGCTGCGAGGGCGGCAGGCGCTGTGTATAAATAACTCAAAGGGGAGGGAATTAATTAGGTCCTTTACAAACCGCAATGCACACACCCCGCAAACGACGACGACGACTAAATAATAAATATATATATGATATTAATCAGAGAACTACGAATATAATATAATAATATGTATTGCAACTTATACGCAATATATGTTTGTATACAATATATATATAATTTACGTATAAAATATAATATATTATACACAACTCGGGCACACAGCATTCGAATCGGTTGTAACAGAAAATAGAAATTGTATTATGTTATATTATTATTATTATTTGGTCGTTGTTCCTTTGTGCTGCAGCATGTGCCGGTGTGTGCGCCGCCACCAAAGAGGGAAAACGCGTGTCCTTGACGATGGCAACAGCAGCAGCAGCGGCGGCAGAAAGCCACAGTATAATAATATAGACCTGCCGCCGACTCAGCTGCTAAAATAAGTTGTGTTACGCCAAAACGATAATTAAATCTCCCCGTCAAATTCACTAACTGGCGTACAAGGTGATTCGCTAAAGAACGATGAACACCCCCACCGCCATAACCACCAAACCGCCACAGCCGCAGCCACTATAATATACCTCCAGTGCTTGCCTGCTGGTAGTATTCTTCATTGTTATACATTTATATAAATGTATTATTTTTGATTTATTTATTTTTAAATAAACGTTTATAAAATAATAACATTGCTGAAGAAAATCAAAAATATAATCGAAATCCTTCAAAAATTAATAATAATTATAGGAGCCTATATGATATTGTAATTGTAATTTTGCTACTATAAAATACGTAGTTGAGAATAGGCAATAGGTACGAATAATTATAATTACTAATTAACGGCAGGTGTAAGTTAATTTTTTTCTATATGAATAATATATAAAGTAATTTATCACGAATTATGATGTATTCACCATTTGATAACTTGTATTTGATAATTTACATTTATTAGTGAACAAACATAAATAATGTAAATAATTAAATAGGTATTATGTAAATGGTCTATAATAAAATATGATCGAAGAAAAACAAATGCTATGTCATTCGAACCTTTCGTATTTTAAGAATAACTATACAATTTAAAGTTGGGAAATTTAAATAGAACTTTGTTAATTCATCATTTTATAAGAAATTTTTAAAATTAATTTAAATATTAATTATAATTAACTACTTCTCCAATTCAATCATATAAAATTAGGAATAAAAATGAATATACTTAATTAAAAATTGAAATAAGAGATTAATAGTTTATCTATACGTATAACAATTTTCTTTTATATTTTAATGTACTCTAAATTTAATCAATTTTCGATAATCGAATTTAAAATAAAAAAAGGTGGGTAAGTGAAGTCTACTGTACAGTAGTGGGGTCACTATAATAGATGGTATTACATTGGAATTCAATGATATAATATCATTGTATACGAAAAACGATTCTGAGCGGAAACGGTTTGTAAGTGTGGATATTTAATAATATATATTATGTATTATATATATCGTTATTACTTATTAATAAGTTATTATTAATACAGTATCCATTAAGTTGAATAATTAATACTAAAAAATTACAACAAAATAACTAAAATCGTTATTCTTGGTTATTTAATATGTAATTTCGTCCAAATTTGATAAAAAAACTAACTTTATAAAAAAAACTGAGTTTTTAAATTGTTGAGATTTTTTGGTTTTAGAATAACCAATTTATGTGGATCCTTGTTTTAAGATATCAATCCTTAGCTATAAAAATTGAATATTTTATAAATTTGATAAATGTTGTCATAAATCGAAATTAAAATGCTTATAAAAAAAATTGGGCCCATGTATTTTTAATATCTTTCAACTACTATTGTAACAATATATCTGGAGCCTTGTATTAATTGTTCACGCTTTTTGACCCAAAAAATACAATTTTATTGACATTTATAGAAAAAAACTAAAAATCCATCGTTCCACTTAGAATCTAAAAAATTAAATATTAAATGTCCGTAAATAGCTCAAAAACAGTGAAAATATTTTGAAAATTTAATCAAGTATAGGAAATCATAAAATTTACATGTGATATAAATTTCTAGTGTCTATGGTTATTCGTTTTTGAATTAAAATAAAATAAGAAAATAGCTATTTGAGGAATCGGGAGTAAAAATTTAATTTGACTTTCTTATAGACATTTTTTGTTGTTGATAAAAGTAGACAAACTTATGAGGAATGTTGAATCACATTTTAAAATCTTAGATTTAAAGAGAAAAGTTTTCATGAATTTCTAACTCAAGATAATTTGCACATTTTCTTGATTTTTACGTATTTTGTCAAGATTTGAACTTTAAATGCTTGTAAAAATAAATTGTGACTGGATTTCTAATATTTTTCAAATGTCATTGTGACAATATATAAGGAGCCTTGTTTTAAATTTTCAAGCGTTTTTAACAAATAAATTTGTATTGACATTCATATAAAAAAAAAAAAAAAAAAAAAATTGGAAATTGAAATGTCCGTAAACAGTTCAAAACAAATCAAAATATTTCGAACATTTTATCGTGTATAGAAAATGAGAATATAAACAACCGGTGAAAATTGTATATAACTACGATCATTTGTTTTAGTTACACCGAAAACCAAAATCGATTTTGTCATAAACCGATTTTGTGTAGAAATTCCCGGTTTTTCTTAATTTGTTTTTTGTTTTTCTCAGCGCTTTTGAAAATGACTGGGGATTTTAAATTTTGACCTCCCCAATGCACAGACTATATTCACAGTCCCATCGAAAAAGATACTGAAGGTGAAAATTATTTAGACTATTTATCGTGTACAGACACAAAAAAAAAAATGAAAAATAAAAAAAACATATCATTGTAAAATCAATACATTCATCGTTCCGTTCAGAATCTAAAATAAATCAGGATATTTGTATAGAACTATAATAAAAAGAAGTTTGTTATTTTATTGTAAGGTTATCAAAGTTTTAGAGGTCTTTGCACTTCTCGTAATCAATATCTAGTGTCGTAAAATACTATTAGTTTCGTTGAATGTCAAAATGTTTTAGAAAATTAATTAATAGTATATTTATTTCATATCACAAGTTATATAAAATACATTTTACGTACAGTAAATACATTTTTTTTTAGAGTTTTATAATATTATTAGAAAAAAGTACGAAAAAAGTAGGCCAAGGAAATAATAAAATTATAAAAATGTATAGTAGATGGAGTTTGATAAAATTAAACAATCCTGTTTTGTTTTGTATTATTTTTTTTTGTTTGTTAATAAGTTCATATTTAATATTATATACTTCAAAATTCGATCAAAAATCTTTAGTGGAGTAAAAATATAAGTTATAATTGATAAAACGGTTGATTAACCAAAAAGTTGCTTGTTGCAGATACATATATGTAATCATATTATATTATATAGTGATTAGCCAACAACTTATATTAAGGGGATTCGAAACCGTGATTTTCTGTTTTTGTCTAACACACACCACGCGACATAGGATTTTATTAGACTGATTCTTTTTCAAACATAAAAATTGATATAATGAAGCGATGAAAATTCTCAAAATAGATTTGAATTTGTCGTTAAGTCTACTTGAAATCGAACTTCCCAGATTTTTGATTTTAACTTCTCAAAAAATTAAAATACGACAATTTTTAAATACTCTTTTTTAATATGGCATTTTTAGGAAGTTGGGGTTTAATATCAAAAATGTGGGAAGATCGATTTCAAGTAGACTTGACGACAAATTCAAATCTGTTTTTAGAATTCTTATCGTTTCATTCGAATCCCCTTAAGACTACCTAGGTAATAAACATATTTTTTATTATACAAAACATAGTTTTAGATTAGTTTAAACAAAATATACTTACAATTGAGATTGACCCTTGGCGTCGCTTTTTTTCTTCTTTTTGGGCAACGCAGAGCTTGGGCTTGCGCCGCCGCTCATCTTAGTCCTAGACTCTTGGAGATCATATGGACCCAGTCTGTAAAATAAATTAAACAATTAAATAAATCATTGTAAACTATTGAACTAACTAGCTATGTTATTTAAATTCCATTTTATAAACGATTCATTCTAAATACATAAATAGTTATAACTCATTCGAGCAATTCTCTTGATGTTTAAAAATAACTACGCAAGTTATGCAAGCAATCATTTAATTAATTAATTTATTCGATCGACATTTTAAGTTTCCTCTCCTAATTGATTTAATTATTTCACAGACGAAATGTCATACTGTTTAAGATAGGTATTTTCTAAGACATTTTTAATTAATATGTTAAAACTGTCTGAATAATAAACGGAATCATCATCAAACTTCAAATTTATTTGGAATTCTGTATTAGATTTATTTAAGGCTAGATAATTAAAATTATTTAAACACGATGTAGGAAATTCAAATTATTAGAAGACTTCGAAAATTTGACTGTATTTCAATTTAGAATGTAATTAATTAAATAACAAAAAATATAAATACTCATAAGAAAAAATTATTAAATTAGGATTAAGATGTTAAACAGTAAATATTTCTCTGACATTAGGTACATTATAAAAGACAATTTCATAACATTATAATGGTAATAAAGAATTTATTAAGTATTTTATACATATTATATAATAATATGATTTAAACTAGTCATTATCTAAGAAAAATTAATCATAGTAAATTAGTGATGTTATGGCGAAAAAAATATTTGATTAATTAATTTGCGATATTATAATATATTATATTAGGTTATATTAAATATTATAGTGTTAGCTATTACTTATTAGTTATTACATTAAGCTGGTTGTTAAACAAATAATTGGTATAAATCGAATCTTTTAAATAAAATAGAGGTGCTATTTTTGAGTTATTATAGATAAGTAAAAGGTTGACTCTAAATATAAAAATAATGGGATCTTATCTAGATAATTTAATAACGGAATAAGAATACAAAACCACGAGTAAAATTATGAGTGTTGTATTACAAAAAAGTAATATATTTAATGGCCCGGAGGTAACTATAGAAAATATATGTACTGAAATGGCGCTTCTGGCAGACAACAATATCTGTGTGTCAATTCAAAATCACAAAGAGATGGGTTATAAGTGCGTTATTTACGTATATTTGATGATTTTTGATACACGAGTAAATATATATTGCAACGAATGACATGGATCCCTTCTAAAACTCATAATAATACGTGCATTATGTCTCGTATTTCATTATTATTTATTATATTATATTGTAAAGGTATATTTATAGTAAGGATGTGATTTCTTACATGTGACCCAACCACCCTGTTTATTTATTGACCTAGTTATATAAATTACATATACTGTAGACAGTTTTAAGATTGAAAGGGTTGTGTCCGTCGAAAAGGACTCAAATAATATTGGCTCCCCAACTATAACCAATAAAATAATATATAATACATGTTTAAATTGGTTGAAAAAATACACAAATGTTGTTGTATATTTTGTAGGTTCATCATTAGTTTAGAACATTGCGGTAAATTGTATGTGCCATGGTTTGAATGCGTGTCGTGTGAAAATATAATTAATCAACAGCCAGTTGTAAAGAAGGTTAGGATTTATAATTTTTTACACAATGTACTTGTATATATATAAATTTAAAATAATAATTATGATAATAAGGAGAAATACAATTATGGAGTCTTTTAAAACAAATTAAAAATAATAAACGCAAACTGTTGTCCGTTAACGACAACACGTGAGGGGGAAGTTTAAATGACTTTCATTTACGTCATAATATAAAATCATAATTTATACCCACTGGTGATATAATATAATATTTTATACGTGGGAAATTAGTATTCAATAGGGCTTTTTAGAGTAATCGATAATATTTGTTTTGTGTATAGTACAAAGGAACAACACTTGAGCAACTAGCCCATTCATTATTATTGTGTTTTTTGTATGCCAGATTATTATAAGAAAAAAATCACAACAGAACTATATTATAGTATAATAAATAATAATTAAACCCTAATTTCATATAAATAACTCGCCGTGTAAAAAGTTTTCTTTAGAGTCTATTCTTATTTGATTTTTACGAAAACAACACTGGCCAAGAATGAATTATCATATTTATGAATATCGTGGAAATTCGTAGATTAAAAAAAAAAGAATTCCGGTTAAAAAGTGAATTTTCGTGGGTGTTTGTCTCTCATATCCTAAGCAAGTTTTGTACACCCACGACCGTGATTGACCTTGAACTAATTTAGAGACCATACTCAGACTAACATTGAGGTTGAGTCATATGGGATTTACACAGACGTGATAGTGTATGAATTTATTTTTTTATTTGTTTTACTGGTAGTTTTTCTTCGTTAATAAATCCTTGTGATAAAATATACAATTAAATGAAAATTAAAACGCGACACGTAAATATTGGATTATGAATGTATGTTTTAAGATTTATTCAACACTGGTAATGTTTACAATTGCTATATCTAGCGTAAACACTACGTGATATAGGTACAACGGCAAAATTACGATGAGAAAAATGATTCGTGTATGTATGATGTTCATGATGTTATATTGCCTATAATGCAGTATACGATTTAAAAATCTAAAACAATATTTAAATTTACATAGGTATATTACTATTAGTTGAGCACTTTTTTTAAAATATAATACAATAAGTACAACATCACACCTTACTTTTTAACATTTGGTTAAATAGACATTTTGGATCAGTATAGGATAATTTTAAGTCTATAGTAATCTATACTAAAAACTGACAGAACATTGAAAATTATTTCAAATAGTCACAATATTATCACGGATAAATGTTGTAGGCATTGCTTGAGCATATAATATATACTGCAGGATCCCGTAAGACCGTAACGATGAGTGATTTACCGAGATTTGAAGTAGTGCAGTGTATTGCATCAATCCACAATACCCCACAACACTTGAAATTAGTAATCCACCATGGGACATCAAGGGGAAAGGCAATAAACCGGGAATGGCTAGAAGTAAATTAATATTCATTCACCGGTTTGTTCTTTATCATCACAATATTAATGTTCGTGATGAATGGAAAAATATCCAGATTTGATAGAATTTTAGCAATTTGGGTAAAGAACTTTATTATAAATATAGTAGAGAGGTAGACTATATTCACTTTCACATCAAAATTACATAAAACCATATTACCTATACAAAAATAATTTAAGATAATAATTAAATACATTTGGAATCTTATTGTGACGAGAGAGTAGATGGTAATAATAATAGAATATGTGTCGGATAATAACTTACGAATTGGAACGAAGTTTATGGGGGGGGGGGACTTGGGTATTCCAGAAAAATACATGGATAAAGAAGGATTATTTTTATGTTAAATAGTGGTTTTTATCATCACCTTATCCAGGGCTTCAAAATAATAATTCCTGAAGTATATGTGTATAAAAACCCCGACTAGGAAAATGAGCATTGTGGAAACAATTACTTATTTAACAGACGGCTAATTTTATATGATAATATTTATTGCAACCATAAATAGTGTTAGTATAATAGTCTATAGTAAACACAATAAATTTGATAAAATTACTTAATCAGCACACGTGAATGCTGCATTCACTGAACAAATTAAATTAAATACTTAGGTATATAATACAAAAATAATAATTTTATCGTTATATAGGCAGGCAGACAGAACGGATAAATAAGAAAATTGTGTTATTATGAGATTTTCAAATAATCTCTAAAATTGTATATTATATCTACTCTCAGTAATTTTTTTTTTAAGTACAAACTTAAAATATGTTTTTCAGGGAATGCTATAATATAACTGTTCATTTATGTCGATTACATTGAGAGCTATTCAAGCATTTCTTGTACCGGTAAACATAGCCATAAAACGACAATACTATATTACAATTCATGTCACTAAACAAGTTCTCTGTGCATCGTCTCAGACTAGTTTTCCTAGTTAAGAAAAAAAAATAAAGAAGAAAAATAAAACTTCTCATTATCAGTATAATTTACACTATAAATACTTGTGACATGATGTTACCTACTAATAATATTATTTAAACACAATCGGTCATTGACGCGGCTATTGCCTCTTTTTACCGAATAAATGTTTCTCAAATAGGTATTCTGACTGTACAGAGGATAATTTGTATTTAATTATCAATTAAACGTATCGGCATTATATATGAACTATTGTCCATAATCGAGATAAACTTCAGTGTCATACAAATCACATAACTTTTATCAAACTAATGATTGTACCTTAATTTGATATACTATTGTACCTATCTATGTTTAAGGTGTATTCTTTATTCATCAATGACAGAGTCAGAATTGATTAGATTTTTAAATATTTACTTTTTGCGGTTAAATAAAATTACTGCAGATCAAGACCTCGAGTGTTCAATTATGGCAGTATTAATTGTTTTATTTTAAATGCTCAGTAATTATGAAATAATACACCGAGTGTATAATATAGCTGTGTCAGTCACGATAAGAATAAATATTATATAAAGTAAATCAATGACAAAGAAGTTGAAAATTGATAAAGTACTATAAAAAGTCTATGCCATTTAAGAAATCATTATCTAATGGAAATAAAATGTGAACTTATGAACATTTATATAGACACAAAATTATTACTTTGCATCTCTGACATTTTTTAGAGGTCACGATAGGGTCTAACTCAAACGACAGGCAGTTTACGTCACAGCTAAAATATTACAGAAAAATAAAATAGTAAATCAGTTTTGTAGACAGAATTATGCTCTGGAATAAACGAACACGTGTCCAAGAGAATTATATAAACATTTGTTGTGGAGTGTGAAAAAAGTAAACGATTTAATAGATTCAATTTCGACGTTAGAACAATTTTAATTAAAGCACTCGCATCGCATAATCGTTTTTGATTCAAGAATTAAATTATATGTATATAAAAAAATATGATTAGGTACAATCGAGAATGAAAAAAGTAGCTTTTGGCTATTGCATAC